TAGTATAATTTTATGAGCAAATTATACAAGCTAATAAGTTCAATACACCTTATTAAAGTAAAATCATAAAAAAAATCCTTAAATATTTTAAAAGGAATAAAATGGCTTGGCTTATTCATTGAGTTTATGCAATTATACTATAAGCATAATTGTATTAAAGATATATGAAAGTATGAAAATAGAATGGTCAAAATTTATGAGTATAAAGTTATGGCCTCAACCAATACCAACTATTTCTTTAAAAGACAAGAATGAGACAACAATGTCTAGAACATATAAATGATATGCAAAATGAAAAGTATGTCTATGTTAGTTTATGCAGTGATTATATTATAAATTCAATCTCGAATGAAAATAATTATCATAAAAGAAAATTGAATTTCAAAATATTTTATTAGTAATACTGCAAGTAGAATAAATTTAAACTCTTACTATTAGATGCCAATAATAGCAACCCAACTTTGAATTAGTAATCTCTAATTACAAAATTTAATGGGTAAAAATAACTTATTGTTATGTGTCTATTAGATATTAGAAGAACTCATTCAAATTTTAAAAATTAGTGTGATTCATTGCGTGAAGATGATGAGTTTTATACTTTTAATGGAGTTTATTATTTAAATATCTAAAGCAATAGAGATATAATGGAAACTTTACTTATATAAATATAGAAGTGGTGTTGCTTTAATAAGAAAAATTATGGTCTTTCTTGTAAACGTTTATAAATAGGATAACCATATGACCATAATAATGCTAAAGTAGTTATAAACCTTTGACAAAAAAATAAGTAAGTATTATTATGTGTTATATTTTCAATTCTAACATTAGGAGTTGAGGTTTAATTTGTGAACATCATCATATTTCATTAGAATTCTAAGGTACATATGCTAATTGAAGATTTAAATCGAGATATACCTTCTTGTATTTATAATATTTATTTGTATGAAAGATTAAATATTAAACACCAACATTCCAAACTATTTGAGGAATATTGAGAGTTTAGAATGTTTTGTATTGGTGAATAGATTTAATATTTGCTTTAATTATTCATAGTTTGAATAATTATGTTTGAATAAGAAACATTTGTTGAAAACAGTTATGTAATAAAAGAGTTACAACTATTAAATAAATAATTATATTTAAATAGAAACGTTTGTTTATAATAATTATATAACAAAAAGAGTTATAACTATTTAAATAAACTAACGTGATTATTCATAAAAAAGATATGTTTGTTTATCAACTATAAATAAATATTTGTGCATAATCATTTTTATTATTTTTGATTGGGGAGTTTGATGTTTTATTATGTTTTAGAGGCATAACTGCTTTAAAAAAAGTATTCTTCATGCCTCAAAGTCAAATTTTTTTTTTATTATTTCGATTCTCTTATTTATTTTTCTAACAAGTCCCATTGACAACGTATTAAGATAGTTATTTCAAAACTGACCGTTTGGCATCCAATTTGCTTGATACTATTAAATGCAACTTATGTCTGTCTATGATCTTCTTGAGCTCTATGTAGACATTTCATTAGTTATCAACCATCATAATCAAATTATCACATTTTGTTCTTATACATAAAGTAATTAGAAGATCAGGTACATAAAAAAAAAAATCCTATTACACACTGAGTTTTTCCTCCATTGAAGCTTTCTCCCCACACTTCATTACTTTCATCCATTTCCTTCCTTCTTTCCTTACCGCAGATACAATATTTATTTGAGTATTAGAACACACCTCGAAATAATAATTCCAATATCCCTTTATTTTATTATTTAATTGTAGGTTCTAACTATTTCCCCTCTAACCTCACTCTATCTCCTCTTAACTAAGGCTCTATTTGGTTTCAACTACACCTCCAGTAAAGTGTAGTTGCTAACAAAAATTATGCCACTAGTATTTAACATCCATTTGGATGTCAAAACTGTGGCACAATTGTCTACTTTTTTTCATTGGAGGATTTAGCTTCAGTTGAAAAAACGCACCGAGCTTCAATTTTTTTTTCTTTTTCATCCTTTATTTTATATTACAAAGACAAAAATATCTTTATACTTTAATTTTTATTTTTTATTTAAAAATTATAAAATTAATTTATTATAATAAATAAGTTTTATTTATTATATAATAAATTAATATATAAATAAAATTCTAATTAGTTTTATAAATATTAAATAATTTAAAATTTTTGTTAATATAATTTATATTCTAATATCTTTAATGATAATTTTTCTTTTCACTTTATCATCACTGTTAATTTTATATTTAAACGTATATCTTATTATTGATTTAATCTTATAATTATAATATTTAATTTTATTATTAAAATAATTAATTTCATATTTATTATTAATTTTAATTTCATCAAAATTAATTTTACCGTTCGTTCATAGAGCGTAAAACGATTCTAAAACACCATCCACATATAAATCAAGTTGACTGGTGAGTAGACGTCGAACCTCTCCCATTTTTTTTTTAAATATATATAAAATGTAAAAAATGAGTTCATGGATGCATCATACCATATATAGGCCACATGAATAGTACCTTAAATTACTCCATAATTTGCCTGCCGACATGATTGAATGATGTTTAATTATTTGAGGTGTTGGGATTTGTGGTTAATTATTTTCTTTTTTTAAATAGAGAGTTTCAATTACTTCCCTAGTTTGAAGTTTACTAATGATTGACCTTAAATATATATATATATATATATATAAAATTATTTATTTATGTTCCGGCCCAGCCAGTTGATAATAAATTATTTTACTGCTAAGGATGATATCAATGTTATAACAAATTAGTATTACTATTGTACTAAGAGTTTATTTTAATTGATTTTTATTTTTATTTTTAAAAAATAATATTTAATAAATATGTAATTTAAATTACAACACCTAATTTTTTTTTTACTTTTTAAATTGTGATTTTTTTTATAAAAAATTAAAACTAATATTTTTCAATCTTTGTTGGATTCATTGTGTACAATTTCAAATAATGAAGTCAATTTCATTAAAAAAAACCTATAAACCAACAAAAGAACAAAAAAGGGTTAGTGTTTTGTTATGTAACCTTTTGTAATAACCTCTTGTTATTAACAAATCCTAGTAATAACTTCTTGCTTTGTTAGGTAATCCGTCCTAAACCCCTCAATGTTTATCATGACATCAAAGCAAGCAACGGTGGGTATTGTTTTTCTCATCATTTCACATATGCTCTGTTTGATCGTCAGGTGTTGAAATTGAGCAATAAACCAAATTCTATATATGTCATGCCATGCAAGTTGGTCATGGCCTTTTTACAATTATCTAATTCTAATCCTTTTTTAATTGATAGGTAATACATGTTTGCAATCCAAATCGTTGCAAAAAAAATAGTTTACAAAAGTCTTTTATTATTGTAATGGAACGAATATTATTTTTCGTAAAAAATAAATGCTTGTTCAAATTTTAATATCTATAAAATTTTTATTTATTTTTAAACTGTGATTTTTTTATTAAAAAAAAAGCATAATATAATGGAATGTAATAATCCACAGGATAATTAAGGAATAAGAGTTTTAAAACATATTTTTGTACAATCAAAATGTTGTTGATCATCCAATAGAGTTGACTTTTGGCGCAGAACATATTCCAAGTTTTTGACATATCGGGAGGGGAGCAGAAGATCCATCAATATCAATCTTGATAGAAGCGTTGCTGTTGTAGAAATTTATGAACATTCACAAAATGCAACTAACCAAGCCATTTAAGGCAGAGCATTCAAGAAAATTTGAATCTGAAAAACCACCAAAAAAAAAAAAGGTGAGGCAAAAAGTGGATATTATAGGCAGGTAATCAGATATTAGATATTTGTGCTGATGGGGCTCATCATCCAGACTCCAGAGTATGGTACTACGGCTGTATGTTCATCTTGGAAACTGAGTGCAGCAAAAAAGAGAAGGCTGTGATGGGTGTAGACAGATTCCACCAAACAAGCTGGTGGGGGTGGGTCTTTGATGGTGGCATGGTTTTAATTAGCATGCCTGGTATGGGCACCCACTGCCCACTTTGTCTTTAAGCATGGACTTTTCCCCATTTCCTCTGTTTTAAATTGCAGCAAGCTTAAGATATGGTCATTAGCAAGACAAAAATTTGGGGCATTAATCATCATCAAGTCACAGAAACAAGGTTCACTCTAGTGTACTTTTTAGGGCGGCTGCGATTTCTGTTAGGATGAGAACAACTCAAAGACCTTTCGCTTGGGATTTGAGTTATATCTCGAAAATCTCTGGTGACAAAATTTACCTGCTGGCCTAGACATTATAACACCCAAAGATAAGTACATAAAAATTACCAGTTCACAGCTCAAAACAATTGAACAGGACCACCATTTTGTGGGGGTGCATCTGATCCAAATCTGATGGCAGTCACACATTTACTAACAACACCGTGAGAAGGACCACTTCTCTTATGGGCGTACATCTGATCCTGATCTGACGGCACACACACTCACACACCTTCGTCTACTCACTCTCTCATCAAGCTGTCAATGCTTATGCTTTGGCCAGCTACTGTTAAAATTTATCAGACACCCTTAAATTTTGAACCACCCTAGAAGAGTAAGCAACTTTATCATTTTTTTTTTTTTTTTTTGGTTTTGGTTCTGAATCAGTAGGGTGGTCCTGGGTTTAATAAAAAAACTCGTAAGGTTGGAAGAGTGTGTTCTGGGCTTCTGGGGACTCACTATCCCTGCCGTTTTCTGTACAAACTTAGTATTGAGTCATGACTTGAACTTCCTCACTGTTCACGGCCAGCGTTATTTAAAACACATTTCTACACTGAAAGTGATTTGAACTGTTTGACCTCGTCCAACTGGAGGGTTTTAATTGGATTGCTTTATTTACTTTGGTATACTATCAAGAAGCTGGCTCTTTAAGCAACGATTTGAACTTTGAACTTCCCCACATACCTTTAGCTCTGGTCCAAATTGCTCACCCACATAACATTCAATATCAGATCATGTCTCTTTATATGATTAGATGATGTCGTAATGTAATGCATCTGACACCTTAAATCAGGGCAGATGAGGAGCTTAGATCAGATTTCATTTGTCGAAGAGATTCGAAGAGGCCGGCCACTTCTCATTCTTCAATCATGGATTGATCCTTCATAGCACCCCCACTGCCCACTAAAATTAGAAAAAACCCATGAAGTTGCCTTACTGGGTAGGAAACTACAACAATGCCGTGTTTGTGCCTCGAAACAAGTACGGCCCATTGCTAATATGGGCGTTTAAACATTCAAATTAAGGCCAGGGCAGAGGCCTTGTGAAGAAAGCAAACAAATGGGCTTTCGAAGACAAAGGCCTTATGAAGTTGATTTTTGAGCCATTCTCCAGTACTTTGTTCTCAAATGGCCAAAGGCCCAAGTTAATTTTCATTATGGAAAGAAAAAAAGAAGGCACACAGAAAATGGGATCAAAATCTGGATTTCTCTATTGAACATAAAGTTAAACCCCCAAAGAGTTACAGAAAAACTGTTGAACCAGGGATATGTAATCATGTGTGTATACAGCTTGCTAACTACAAGTAATTGCATCAGTTCTATCCTTTATGGGAATCAGTAATCAGGGAGAATAAAAAAGCTACACAAAATGTTCTGTGGGGTACTCATGCTCATATCCATTGTAATCATAGTACAATTTTTCTCCTTTTCGTATATCTCTGTTTGCAATCAGCAAAACTCGACACTCCCCATTGACATCATATCTCACGCATTTTACATTTTGCTTCTTTTTCCCATCCCTGCATTTATATACACAGTATTTTTATATCATACAAGACGAGTTTGGTCCATCTGAACAAGCCAAAGAACAAGTTGTAGAAGATTCACTTACGGTGAGAAGTTGTTGATGCCATTGACAAAGCGGGCAATGTTGCCACGCTTGTCAGGACAAATAACAAGGCTTTTTGAAGGATTTGATGCATGCAGCAGGGTCATCATGCTATCTCCATCGTCATGTTCACGGTTCTTCAAGAAATCGACATCTCCAACATATTCTGTAATTATAGTTAAATCCTTTATAAATCTATCAGCCTGGACAGTGAACCTGCCAAAATCAAACAATATCCCCAGCTCAGACTCTAAATGTACATAATACTGTAATCGGATAACAATCCATGCAAGTTTAACATTTTACAGACCCTTCCACAGGATCAAAAACAACCATAAGCGGAGGGCATTCTCCTTTTTCCATCATCCTCTTGCACAAATTTAAGGCCTCTATATCTTCCTTTGGTAGAACCTGAAACAGAATCCATCAAAATCAGTCCTAGAGTAAAATGTAGTGATGGAGTTTCAATAATAAAAAGCACCCATGGCCTAATGGATAAGGCACCTGACTTCTAATCAGGCGATTGTGGGTTCGAGTCCCACTGGGTGTGCTATAGTTTTTTTTTTTTTCGCCTGCAAATCTCATACTACACTTTATTGCTACACCTGCAAATCTGATACTACATTTTATTACTACACTTTAGTGAGTGTGCTAATTCGCCTGCAAATCTCATACTACACTTTATTTTTAAGTGAATTACTTGAAAGGAATGAAAAATTTTTTTTATTACCTGCATTCCTCCCTTCTCAAAATCTGCACAATTAGCTGACCTTACTGCCATGCCAGGCCTGTAGGTGAGCTCATTACTGTACTCAGTCCCAGAGGCTTTGAGTGCTGTCGCCAATGATGCCATTTGTTCTAACCTCCTTTGAGGGTCTTCTGTTGGATTAAATGCCAACAATTTCCTTTTCCTTTTTGACATGGCAAAGCCACCAGCTCTCTTTCTCTTTTTAATGTTGCCTAAAGAACAAACAAAACAATTACACTCGTAAATCTCAACCTGTCAAATAAAATTGCAATTCTATGAAAGAACGAGTGGGGAAATCATTTGAAAGATTAATTTTACTACTTACTTTGACTTAGTTTTTCTGTCGGTTCAGATGACCTTTGAATCCGAAAAAAATCAACAATTTTGGTTTGGACCAGAGGAAACACTGAATAGAGTGAAAGATTACGGTGATTAGGATGGAAATTGGGAGAATTGAAATACAAATGCCCAAACACTTGCTTCTCTACTTTTATGTATACAATGCAAGTAAATGTCCTAAGGATTTAATCTATGAATAGCTTAACTTTGATGAAACAAATCATTTTATCCTTATTCTAACATCCACTGATCCACATATATCGATTTTGATTCTTTTATCGATAAAAAATTTTGGAAGACAAAGAAAACAAAACCCAACACTTCTGAGTTTAAAGAAACATACACCACTCACACTTTGGAACCATCATTAAAATCCTCAAAAAAATAAACCTTGGATTGAGGGAAGAGAACCATACATTTGGGTTTCTTAATGTTGCTGCAAGAGGGACAGAACCAAGAGCATTTGGGAACCGAAACGAGAATGGGTCTAAGGCAAAATAGATGATATCCCTTATCGCACTTGTCGCACAACAAAAGCTTTGATCCAAAATCACCAGACCCGCATCTCTCGCAGCAAACATCGTCGCAATCGAAACCATCTTCATCTTTGAAGAGGGTGTGGGAGTAGCGCTTCGGAGCCCGAGTTCTACCCCTCAGAACCATCGTCGTCGATTTAGCCGCCGCCATTGATAAGGAAAGACGAGGAGGTAGGGTAAAAGGGAGGGACCTGAAGAATAATTTAGAGATATTTCATATTCCTTCATCTTGGGCGGTGGATTATAAGGGAAGAGCCAATTAGGTGATTTGGCGCGCTGATTTTGGCTTCGCGGGAGAGGGTTTCGGCGCCATCATTTGGTTTTGAAAGGTGAAACATGATTTTATCTATGGTTGGGATGAGATATGGTGTAACGGGATGTATTGTAATCCAGTCCTTTTATGTTATCAACCGTCCATGAGTAGAACTCTACTGGATCTTTTACACAACAAAAGCCCAAGTTGATTTTACAACGGCCCAAAAGATCGGCTCTAAAAAGCAAACTCCATTTATAAGTTTTGCACAAACCATTGGAATTTCTCGTACATTGGATGTCCAACTGGTCTCAGCATTGACTCGGCCGAGTTCACTCACCTAACTTGGGCCCTGTCTCGATCCACACTCATCGAATCGACGCCGATGGAAGCCCATTGGGTTCCAACAGTCCACTCTTCCCACAGTCACCCCCTTCTAACTCGCGTGTCAACTTGGAGACGACCCGGCCGAGTGGGACGAGTCGGTGGTCTTCTTGCTCGACCTCGCCTCAATTCCCTTACCTTCGATATGGGAATTGTTGAAGGACGTTTATGTTTCCCCAGATGCATTGAAATTTGAATTTAAGTTCAAGCAAGATTTGATTTTTCTGTCTTCTCGTGCCCAAGGATGTGACCCTGGCTTTGATAAAGTGAGCTTTTTTTTTTTTTAATTTGGTTTATCAATCAATTTTTCATTGTAAAATTGTGCTAAGATTTCGTCTAAAAATGGTGAATAGGTGGAGCCCTATTTAGGCATCGCAAACATATACAAAATTTTGCAACATAAACAAGGGAAGAAGGTATCAAAGGATACAAAGAGTTTTTCAGCTATATGCGAAGAAGTGTTGGGTATGTCTCTTTGCAGGGTATGTTTTCTGAACACCCAAGTTTTCATCCAGTTTTTAAAATTAATAATATTTGTTGAGTTGAGAATTCTATTGGTTTTGTAACTTTGGTAGTTGTAGTCATTTGTCAATGCAAGGTAATCAATTGTTTCCTAGTTTAATTTTGATGTAATGCCACTGAAATATCTATGATTTAGGGGTTGTTTTCTAGCTCTCACAAATAAAGTTATGTGCAAGAAAATAAGTGATAAGAGATATCTTACAAAAGTACAGATGGTTGCAAGGAAAGTGATGATAAGGAATGAAAAGATAGGATATATTTTTGTTATTACTATTCATTAGAGGAGTTTTATGTTTTAGAACAAACCTGTAAGTATCCTTATTTGATTTTCATCACCAAAAATGGTCTCTTTTTTTTTTCTTGCAATGCTAGAAACTATTCGGATCCATTTTCCTTTTCGCTTCTTTCCCTTTTATTGGTTGGGTGTGGAAGTCTTTGACACTCTCTCCAATGCCCGCACCTAATTTTATGAAATAGGCACTAAACTTAGTAGCTTTTGGAAGTCGCTTGTTAGGTTCTTTAGTTCCTATAGCATTATGTGGTCATTACTGCGGTTCTTATGGCCTGCATTTAATTTTATGAAATAGGGACTAAACTTAGTAGCTTTGGAAGTCGCTTGTCAGGTTCTGTAGTTCCTATAGCATTATCTGGTCATTACTACGGTTCTTATAGCCTGCATCTAATTTTATGAAATAGGGACTAAACTTTGCAGCTTTTGGAAGTTGCTTGTTAGGCTCTTTAGTTCCTATAGCATTATGTGGTAATCACTTCAAGTTCTTATAGCAATGTGATAATGTAATATGCAAATTTTTTTAGGAATTTCAATGTAGTAATTTGTCACATCGTCCTCTTACAGAAGAGCAGATAAGATATGCAGCTACAGATGCATCCTGCTTGCTTGGAATATCCACAACCTCCCAGGCCAAGGTTTTCAAAGAAGGTGAAAATTGTCTCTGAACTTGGAATTTGTAGATTGTGATCAGATTTATTGTGCAAAATTTTAGGACAGAATTGCTGTATCTTTGAAATGTTTGTTTTTGTTGTACCTGGTAAAATCACTCATTTAGAACACTTTTCCTTCGTCCCAGCTATTCGACATTTGAGAAAGCTAGACATAATGTTTTCTCTGAGTTTACTCTCTAGAGAATTCTGGCTCTGGTAGCCATCTTTTATAACATGTGCATCTTTTGACTAACAAAATAGCATATTACCTATTGTAACTTGTTATTACTTTATTCATATAATTTCTGGTATTACAGACTTTGCTGCTAGTGAGAATTAATTGAAGGCATGTATGGTTTGTAAATTTTTTTTTTTTTTTGTGTCATGTGATTTGCTTTGGTTTACAGAATTTACGAAATATGAACCTAAAAGATGCTTATAAAATAAAGTTTTTGCATTACTGTCATTACGAGTTGGTGATATGATGAATATTTAATATTAATGAATGATATAATGAGTATGTAAATCTGTGAAGGATTCAGAAAAATTAATACATTTTGAAGGATTGTTATCTGAGGATTACATTGTTTGCATGGCTGCTTCAACATATTTTTCTCAACGGCATTGAAAGCAGCCTTAACTTCTCTCAATATAACCTTTTTGAAACCTTTTGCAATTATGGGTTAATCAAAGAAAAGAAAATTAGTCATACATGAATAAGATGCAAGGTTTAAACAATATTTATATGTACTTTTTAATATATGCTATGTTTGTCATGTTACAACACTCTTTCTCTAGGTGCTATATTCGATTTCCCATGCAAACGGAAATTGTCTCCTCATCCTGCTGCTTTTGTGATTCTGATCCAATCAAGCAAGTTAATATATGTTCTTATTATGTTAGGGTTTAGACAACTTTTTCTTGAGGCTGTGCACCCAACTTTCTTTCCCTTCTAGATGGAATTTTCTGTGTGTGTGTGCTACAAACATAATTTGTATTTCACACCTTGCATTTCTAGTGATTACAAAGCTTCCAGTTGTTGTTCACATGCTACCCTTCCATTTATTTGCATTGTCAGTGGCAAATCAAGTTCATTACTTGAGCATCTTTTTGAATAAGGCATTTGTTAGTGTTACCATTTTATTATCTTATCCAGTTTGCCAGAAATATCTCATAAGTTCTCATGAGTTAGGTTGCAAATACTGAACCACCTTTTCTCGTAGGGCATTCATGTAATAACATCAAGTAACTGCATCAATCTAATGTTAGCTTAGGACCGAAGGATATTCTTGAGATGCCTGATGGTGATAATAAGCTTGTTGGGACCAAATTTTGCAACGCACTGGATATTGTCCAAGCTACTGCTTCTTCTGACGACTGGGAAAGAATAGCCAAGGGAGTGGAGGTTGTCAGAAAAACTAGGCCTATGGATGAATCTCTCTTTATGATCCTAAGAAAATATGGTGAAAAACTTTTCTTACGAGAATCTGATAGAAATCCAAAAACTTCTAAATGAAACGAAAAAAAAGGTCCTCGGTGGTTGTTGTTTGCAGAGAAAAGTAGCTAGGGAATTCTGGGGGCTGGCGGGGCTCCCACCATGGGATATTTGCTTGTGGGGTGATGGATGCCCTGAGTTTTTATGTGATGCTATGGTTAGCGAATTGCTTAATTGCACATCGTTATTCTTTTTTTTTTTTTAATTTATGGAGGCTTCTAGCTAAGAGGGAGGTTTATAGGAATTTAAAGAGTAATAGGCACTAAAAAAGTTATCTAAAGTATAAGATAGTAAAAAATGAGTCAAAAACGTTATTTGTGATTTAAAAATTAGGATCTATAAAAAATTATATAGAAAATTAAATATAAGAGATGGAGAAAAAGAGTTGTTTAAAATTATTAAGATGAGAGATAAGAAGAGTAGGGATTTTAGGCTGTCTATTTGGTAAAAAATGATTTTTGAAAAATAATTTTTATATTTTTAGGTGTTTATTTAGTAAAAAATTGATTAGTTAACAGAAAGTTATTTATTAATCAATAGAAAATGAGATATTTTTTTGAAAATTATTTTTCTCTTTTGAAAATGAGAAGACAATTTTTGAAAAAAAATTATTTATGAGTAAAATTATTTATCAGAGTGTTTAAGCATAATTTTATTCCAGTGTAACTTTATATATGATTTTTTAAACTCAAATTTAATTTGAGCTTACTCAAAATATTATTATATTAATAAATAATATTTTTATTTAATTTTACTTAAAAATTTAAAATATTAATATTAAATTTTTTTTAATATTTTAATTTTAAATATTTTTATAATTCTACTCAACTAAAATATTTTTTTTTTTTTGGTGCTATAAAGTTTAGGAGCAAGGGTAACTACTCTATCTCCAAGGCAAAGGCAAACTACCAACTCAATTGGAATTTACGAATCCATTGGATATTCACCTGCGAATTTGTCGAGCTTACAAATCACATACCCACAAAGGATTGTGGGGGGACTAAAACCACGTGTTTATGCACCAAGCCCTCGCCTTTTATCAGTTATGTCAATCTTCGTTGGCACTCAAGTAACACTTTAAACATAATATTTTAAATTTAAATTTAATTAATTTCATTTAAATTACTATTATATTAATAATAATATTTTATTTAATTTTAATTTAAAAATTAAAATATTAACATTAAAAGTATTTTAATATTTCAATTTTAAATAATTTTATTTTGTATATTATTAAACATTAATATTTTAATAATAAATAATATTATATCATTATTTTAATAATAAATAAAAATAATAACATATATAATAATATTTTTATTATTTTAATAATTAATGCTAAATAATATAATAATATTATTTTCTTAAAATGAATATTTTTAATAATTTCTTTTCTTAGTTTAAAAAATATAATTATATATTTTTGTTTATTAAGGTATTTATATTACTATTTTAATAATAAATATAAATAAAAAAGATTTTTGTTATGATTTAATAATATATACTTTCAAAATAAAATATAAATATTTTAATAGTACAAATATTTTAATAATAAATATTACTATTTTATTATTAATAAAAATAATATTTTAAAAATAATAATACTAGTTTAAATATTTTTTAAATATTAGTATAACTAATAATAAATAGTTTTATTTTAAGTTTTTTATATTAATATCATATTTTAATATTAAATA